TCAGGCATTGGTCCATATCAAATGTGATGATCCCATCCCATTTGGTATTTGTCCACATTTAAATGGGATCATCCCCTTTTTTGCTGGGATTTTCCCAGATTGGTTGAGATGACCCTATCCCCCCTTGGTATTTGTCCATGTTGAACTGAGATTTTCCCAGATTGATTTGGGATCATCCCATCTCTTTTGATATTTGTCCATGTTGAGCTGGGATCATCCCATCTCTGGCTGGGATTTTCCCAGAGTAGATTGGGATCATCCCATCCTCTTTTGGTATCTGTCCATGTTGAGCTGGGATTGTCCCATCTCATTTGGTATTTGTCCATGTTTAACTGGGATCATCCTATCTCTTGTTGGGATTTTCCCAGATTGGTTTGGGATCATCCCATCCTCTTTTGGTATCTGTCCATGTTGAGCTGGGATTGTCCCATCTCATTTGGTATTTGTCCATGTTTAACTGGGATCATCCTATCTCTTGTTGGGATTTTCCCAGATTGGTTTGGGATCATCCCATCCTCTTTTGGTATTAGTCCATGTTGAGCTGGGATCATCCCATCTTATTTAGTATTTGTCCATGCTTAACTGGGATCATCCCATCCTTTGGTGGGATTTTCCCAGATTGGTTTGGGATCATCCCGTCCTCTTTTGGTATTTGTCCATGTTGAGCTGGGATCATCCCATCTCTGGCTGGGATTTTCCCAGAGTGGATTGGGATCATCCCATCCTCTTTGGTATTTGTCCATGTTAAGCTGGGATCATCCCATCCTATTTTGGTATTTGTCCATGTTCAACTGGTATCATCCCATCTCTTACTGGGATTTTCCCAGATTCAATTGGGATCATCCCATCCTCTTTTGGTATTTGCCCATGTTAAACTGGTATCATCCCATCTCTGGCTGGGATTTTCCCAGAGTGGATTGGGATCATCCCATCCTCTTTGGTATTTGTCCATGTTAAGCTGGGATTTTCCCAGATTCAATTGGGATCATCCCATCCTATTTTGGTATTTGTCCATGTTAAACTGGTATCATCCCATCTCTTGCTGGGATTTTCCCAGATTCAATTGGGATCATCCCATCCTATTTTGGTATTTGTCCATGTTCAACTGGGATCATCCCATCTCTTACTGGGATTTTCCCAGATTCAATTGGGATCATCCCATCCTCTTTTGGTATTTGTCCATGCTTAACTGGGATCATCCCATCTCTTGCTGGGATTTTCCCATATTGGTTTGGGATCATCCCATCTCATTTGGTATTTGTCCATGCTTAACTGGGATTTTCCCAGATTGGTTTGGGATCATCCCAGATTGGCTTGGGATTATCCCATCCTCTTGTGGTATTTGTCCACATTGAGCTGGGATCATCCCATCCCTTTATGGTATTTGTCCATATTGAACTGGGATGATCCCACCCCCTTCTGGTATTTGTCCATGTGAGAAGTGGGTAACCCCATGTTACGTGGGGACATGTACAGATTTAACTGGGATGATCACACCCTATTTCAGGGATTTGTCCAGATCAGTGTGGGATGATCCTCAGTAAAAAAAATCAAAAGTTGGGCAATGTCAATGGTCAGAATCAGTTTTGAAGGAAATTACCTGAGTTCTACATATTGCCATAAAAATGATAATCCAAAAAGAGTGGTGTGAGACAGCATCACTATCATATGAGAGACAGAGAATGTTGGCAGAAACCTTACTTGGCATGAAAAAATATTTTCCGGATTCATTTCAATTTCTCAAGAATCTAAAAAAAGAATACCTTTACAGCACTCAGATTCTTTGTGGACTTAGATACTGTACTATACACAGTCAGCATATAGGCACCAGTCACCCCTTAGACCTTCAGCTGGTAGCTCCCAGAAATGGCACAACTCAAGGTATTAAATACCTAAGCAGTGCCTAATTAATCCTCACACTCAAGTCATCTAGTGTAGGAGTATCAAAATGGAGATCTTGTGTATTATACTGTACATAGCAAGCATCCCCCTCTCCCCATAGACCTTCAGCCAGCAGCCCCCAGGAACCACTCTCAGAGAATGTACAATATAAGGTATCAAATACCTTGGTAGTGCCACAAAAGTGGTAAATTCATGTTTTTGCAAGAACATGACTTTATGTTTCTTTTTACTATGTTTTACTTTCTACAAGGTCAGGATTTTCCTCACAGAATATGCCAGATCTAGTGTAAATCTAATATTTGATGTCCTTCTGCAGATTACTTTGTTGTCACAGCATTTGTGTTGTGTTTCCTAGTTTTTACTTCAGTTAAGGGTATAATAAACCTTGCAAAAAAGCAGAACTCACATATCACATCTATCAGCAAGGACAACAGCATCTTTCTAGTGTATGGTTCCTGCAATTGATTATATCTAGAAATTGATAATGTTCCACATTTAAAAAAAAGGGAATGCTTCTCCCCAAATTTGCAGTAAGCTACAATGAGGAACTTGTAACTCATATATTTCAAAATAGTCTTGATTATATTGGGCTAAAGTACCATTATTCAGGTGGAAAAGACTGGAAATATCTTCACTAGTTGGCCCAGCATTCTCACATGTTAGTATTAGCACCAATCCCCCTGATACCATGTGACATGTGACAGGTTATTGGGATTATCCCATCTGAGGGATAATCCCACTATGGTACATGGTCTGATACCATGGGAAAATCCCAGAAGGGTGGTATTATTCCGCTTCTGGGATGATCCCATCCTTGCTGGAGCACTTGGGATGATACCAGGAAAAACAAGCTCTTAGCTTTATACATTTACACAGATAGTTGAAGCTAAATGCTTATGTTTTGGGGGTGACTGAAGTGCTCAGTGTTACGATAACACAATTTTCGGACCTTTCCTTTATTTTCATTCTCTGCTTTAACCTTGTACTTTATTGTTCACACATGGTGCCACGCGGCACTTCCCTTTTGTTCTAACTCCTCTTTCTCGCGCTGCATTGCCTTTCTCCTTATTTTAGACACAACTCTCTCACACAGTGGAGCTGGCCATGTGGGCTAGGCCCTATGACATCATCAGCTACTGTCTCTAGCAACTGTATAGTACCCATGTACAAACAAACTATTAAGAACAAAGCTTGAAGGAAGTGTCTAGCCACTTGCTAAGAGCAATCAGGGACTGGAACTAGAGTCCAATGTGAGTAACTATATTATTAGAGAGTATGACAGGTATACAGTACCTAGAGTCCAATGTGAGTAACTAGAGAATAGGAAGCATTGGACTCTGCAGTATTGTCCGAAATTTTGTAAACAAAGGTAAACAAAGCAGCCACAAAGGCGAAATAATAGAGAACACAATCAATAGTGAATGATAGAAGAATAGATAGAGAAAGGAATGAAAATATATAGGTAGCACAAAGGTGCAGAATCACCAAAACTAACACAAACCTGTAGTAGTACATAAACCCCAATAGATCCAGGAGACTCCTCAGCGAGTCCTCCTGTTGTATACCAACAAACTCTTTGCAGCTTAAGGGATAACCACTCCCTCATCATCTTCTTTATAGTGTGTTCCTGTGTGCGCCAGAGTAAATAACTCTTGGTTGTTACATTAGGACTTGCTCTTTCTACTCTCTCGCACGTCTGTGCAAAAGTCCCACTGGGCACCCGGACTCCAGAGTGAAGGAGATTTGGTTATTGGTTGGGAATATCCCGCATAGCAGATAGGTGCGCTCCTAGCGACGGCCTTGTAGTGCTTTGGGAGAAGAACCCAAAACCTTTGATATGCGGCCCCCAGCATTAAGGGGAGTACTATAGCTCAGCAGTCGGTGTGGAACCACTGTTGATTAGAATTTACATACAAAACTTCACTTTCTCTTTCCTCTGACCAGGCCGGGCACTTGCCTCCGCCAGTCTGGAGAAGGGTTGACAGCTTAACAAGCGGACCACCCCCTGACAACCGTTCGGACCAGGGTTTAATACGATAACTTTTATATACAATTTCAAATACTGTAGTGTGAGTAGTTGGGGATTGAGACCCGATACTCAGCTGGGAAGAGATAGATCCGCAGATAGCAAGCAGGGACCCCCTGTTACATTTTTATTACCTTATAAAGAGAACAAGTCGACATGTTGTTGCAACCCCAACAACAAGATGTCAACGCCCTGTTGCATAGCATGCGGCAGCAAATCCTGGCGTTGACCACGCAACTCGCCAAGCTGCAGGCAAACCCCCCTGTGGCAACCCCCTCGGTTGAGAAAAAGTTCAATAAAAAGGTCAAAGTCGTCGCTGACCCTGGCACCTTCGAAGGAGACAGAGCGCGATTCACCGAATGGTGGATCAAGCTCCAGATTTGGGTCAAGGCAAACCGGGACGTGTTTGCCGACAATTTTGAGGTGGCAACTGTGGTGCTATCTCGCCTAAAAGGACCTGTGGTGGGTCAATACGCCCAAGTCAGATTACAGGAATGCTACACTGCGGGAGTGTGGCCTACCTGGGACGATCTCAAGATAGAGATCAAAAAATACTTCAAACCGCAAGCTGAGCGTGACTGGGCGCGTCAGCAAATCTGTTCCTTCAAACAAGGAAACATGAGGACGGATGACTTCGTAACCCAATTCCTGGCCCTCTCTATCCAAGGGGTTCTTGGCAATGAACATGCAGTAGAACTGCTGGAACGCAATGTGAACCCTCGCATTGCAGAACAGATCTACTTGCAGGATACAAGAAGCGACAACTTGGCCCTGGCGGGTGAGGAAGTACGACGAGTCGGTAGAGCCATAGAGCTCTACACTATGCACCAAGGTGGCGGGTCCACCAAACAAAACAACACATCCCAGAGGCACCCTGGGTTATCAAACCAACATAATCACTCTCACCGGTTCAAGCCGTTCGGGCTGCAGCCAGGAGAGGGTGCTCCTATGGATATCGGTGGGGTCCAAGGCGGACAGATGCACAGATTCAAGGGCAACTGTTACAACTGTGGCCAAGAGGGACACATGTCCTGAGACTGCAGAAATGGGGTGCAGGCCGCCCAATATAAAAAAAACCAAGGGCGCCAGGCGCGCCAATTAGAATCCGAAAAACTGGACGACCCGCTCAACTCTCTGACTGGTTGTGCTTACGACAAAATCCAAGCCTTTTTCTATGACCAACAGGTCAATGAGATGAAGGCTCAGGGAAAAGAATTTGGGGCTTAGGTCACTTGGGTGCCTTCGCTTCTGCGAACAATGAAATAAACCACAACAAAGTGGCCCCTGCTCCGGGGTGTTGTACGAGCAATAAAGGAAAGACGGGGATGGCTCCCCAATTTGTAAATAGATTTCTAAATTTGTTATCCGAAGTATGTACTTGTATGAAGCAATGCGATTGTAATATTTATGATACTACCGCTGCACCAGCATCTCCTTTGGAGCGTGGCCCCGGCGAGACAAACACTAGGGTGCTTGATTCTGGTAAAAATAAAATAGAAAAACATGTTTCTTTCGATACTTCTTCTTCTTCTCTGGAGCCACCCTTTCCCAAAATCCCAAGGTGTGTGTTGATGCACACATATTTATTCCAAAAGGAAATTTGTTTAGACGTTGGTGTGGAAAACCTTGCCCGGGGCATAGTACACCCAACAAGCGCACTGCTTGATTCAGGCGCTAACAGAATCTTCATAGACCAGGACTGGGCGGAGCAGATTGGACTCCCCCTTGTAAAATTAGATGTATCTATTCCCGTCTATAACAT